GAGCGTTAGGGCGGGAAGGGACCTCAGAGGTCATCTAGCCCAACCCGCTCGCTCCAGGCAGCAGATCCTACTTATCCTGTCAAACCTCCATGGCAACCTCCATGCCCCTCCCTCCCCTCCCCCCCCCCGCAAAGGCGGTGCTCCGCCTCCCCTGAGGGAGGCAGCCAATCCCTGAGGGCCTGTGGGTCGGTCTCTCCCTGGGTGGGGGGGGGAGGGGTCCAAAAAGTTAGACCGGGACCACACAATTATAGATCCCCCCCCCTTGCTGGGAGGAGAAGCCCCGAGAGCTGAAGGCAGCAGAAGCCTCTTCGGGGTCTCCCCAGCCTCTGATGGGCACAGATAGACTCCTTCTGAGCGTGGAGGCTCTTCCGTGAACTTGCCTCTGAGTTATTGCAGATCACGAAAGGCAGGAGGGAGGGAGGGAGGGGGACCCAGCCTTTTTTTGGGGGGGGGAGTGTTAGAGTGTTTATTCTTTGCAGGACTAGGAGAGAATGAGAGGAGAGAGAGAGAGAGCAAGAGAGAGAATGAGAGACCCAGAATGAGAGAATGTGTAAGAGAGAATGAGAGAGACCGAGAGAGAATGAGAATGTGTGTGTGTGAGAGAGAGAGGGAGGGAGATAAAGAGGGGGGGAGAGAGAGAGAATGAGAGAGACCCAGAATGAGAGATTGTGTAAGAGAGAGAGAATGATAATGAGAGAATGTGTGTGTGTGTGTGTGAGAGAGAGAGAGAAATAAAGAATGAGAGACCAAGAGAGAATGAGAGAGAATGAGAGACACAGAATGAGAGAATGTGTGTGTGTGAGAGAGAGAGAGAGAGAGAAAGAATGAGAGACCGAGAGAATGAGAGACCCAGAGAGAATGAGTGTGTGTGTGTGTGTGAGAGAGAGAGAGAGGGAGGTAAAGAGGGAGAGAGAGAGAGAGAGACCCAGAATGAGAGAATGTGTGAGAGAGAGAGAATAACAGAGACCCAGAGAGAATGAGAATGTGTGTGTGTGAGAGAGGGAGAGAGATAAAGAGGGGGGAGAGAATGAGAGAGACCCAGAATGAGAGAATGTGTAAGAGAGAGAATGAGAATGAGAGAATGTGTGTGTGTATGTGAGAGAGGGAGAGAGAAAGAATGAGAGAGACCAAGAGAGAATGAGAATGAGAGAAACCCAGAATGAGAGAATGTGTGTGAGAGAGGGAGAATGAGAGACCAAGAGAGAGAATGTGTGTGTGTGTGTGAGAGAGAGAGAGAGAGAGTGAGTGTGTGTGTGTGTGTGTGTGGGGCTGGGCCTTCACTTCCTGGTCTACGTGGATGTTCCTGCTTCGCTTTGGGTCCTTGTGTGCAAAACCAGCCAGGAGCCATAAAGAGGAGGAGGAGGAGGAAGGCCACCCCTTTCTCCTGAGTAGCCCCCAACCTCTCTTGGGACGAGGCAGGGGCCCTCATTTCTGACCCCCCCAGCACAGCCCCTGTGCACATGGCAGGAAGGTGGGCTTCTCTCCGGGGCCAAGGCTGGACAGAAAAGCATCAGGGAAACTTCCTGGAAATGGGCAAAGGGAACCTGGGGGGAGGGATGGCAGGGGGGAGGGTGCTCTAGGCTGAGCTGGGCCTAGGGGGCATCCCCCCCAGCCTGGGGGTCCCCTCCAACTCCCGATGGGGGTCACTCAAGCAGCAGCTGGCCAAGTGCCTCTGCCAGGTGGGAGATCGGGGGGACTCCCCGCTTCTCTCCCCCAGGGGAAGGGGACGCCCCGTGGATGACTTCCTTCACAACTCGTACAAAACTCCCCATTGTCCCCCCCCCCCGAGACCCCTGGCGGGTTTTCGGTCCCAGGAAGTCCCCGTGGCCCTCAAAAGAGCAGCCCAGCAAAACACACAGAACAGGATCCAGACGAGGTTTTATTCCCACCAGACCAGCTTCGGGGGGGTGGGTGGGTGGCGCTTCAAGGATCTTCGCTTGGATTGCTGGACAGGCACGTTTTAGCTCTTAAGTGCCCCCTCTCCCCATCGGTCCGGGGGGGGGTCAGAAATTGGCCGGAGCCCCCACCTCAACCCTGAAACCCAGCCCACGCTGGGCTCCTGCGTTTACGCTGCAGCCTTTATCTGGGGCTCTGGGGAGAAACGGCAGCGGGGGAGCCCCTAATTTGGGGGGGGGGGCTTGAGGGTCGGAGGCAGCCAGCCAGCCGGGCGGAGGGGGTCCCCTCCAAGCGGAACGGGGAGCTCCGGGGTCCCGGTTCGAGCGGGACGCGCCTTCCCTCCCGACCAGCTTCGCGGGGCAGAGAAGAGGCAGCTTCGGCTTCGTTCCGCCCCCTCCCCGTCCCCGATGAAGCCATCCCTGCACCGAACCCCCGAAGCGGAAGCTCCCCTGCCTGGCAGAGCTGGAGGGGGATCCCCGAGGTCATCTGGCCGGACCCCAGCCGCTGCAGCAGCAGCTGCACGGGAGGGGCGGCCTCTTCCCTCCCCTCCCCCGGGGAAGCCCCGGCCTCCGAGGAGACCCTCCGGGGGGGGGTCTTTCCTCCCCGCCAGCGAGCGACGCCCGCCGCCCCCTCCGAAGGGGCGCCGCCTCTGCAGCCGGCGGGGTCAAGCGGGGACACGGCGCTGCAAAGCGCGAACCTTCTGCGCATGCCCAGAGGGGTCCCGGGACGCCCCCTCCCCACGAGCGTGCAACACCCGCCCGCTGGGGATCCAGAAAGGGAAACCTCCCCCTCCCCTCCCCTCCCCCCCAAAGGGGACTCCCGCACCCATCGGCCGCGACGGCTAGCCCGGCGGCGGGCCGCAACGAACCGCGACTGCGCACGCGCGCACGCCTCTCCCGCACCGCGCTGGCTGGCCGGCGCGCACGCGCGAGGGTAGATAGAGGCGGGCGAGGCGGAGCATGCGCAGTCGGCTTCTCCGGGCGTCGCGGGAGCCATGCTGATTTTACGCCCAAAGCGGGGCTCGGACGGGGGGCGGGGGCCGCCGCAAAGGGGCCGCGCCGGCGGGCCGCTTTTTCAGGATTATCTTCGGCGGCTGGATGGCTACGCGGCGGGGCAGGCGGAAAGAAGCGTCCCCCGGCGGCATCCGGGCTTTTGGGAACGGCGGCCGCGACGAGGTCACGTGACGGCGGGGACCAATCGGAGCGCGGTGACGTGAGGCTCATGGCGGCCGCGGCAGCGCTGGGTAAGATTTTTTTTTTTTTTTTTTGCTTCGTTAACTGCGCGGAGAAGCTTTTCTTCTCTTTTCCCCCCCCACCCCCGTCGCTTTTTCCCCGCTCCGGCGGCGCCGTCCGGCGAGCGGCGGACGCGATTTCGGAGCCTTTCGCCTCGCGGCCCCTCCCGCTCATGGCGCGGCCAATGGGGAGGCCGCTACTCGGTCACGTGACGCGCCGGCCGCCTCCGCCTGGAAGCCCCCCCCCCGGCGCTGAGGGGTCGCGCGGCTCAGGCGGGGCCTGGAAAGACGGTTGGGGGGGGCGGGAAGAAATGGAGTCGGTGGCGCGCGGGTGATTGGCCCGTGGAGGGAGGGGGAGACTCTTTCTGTCCCCCCCCCGTCCGCCGCCACCGCCCAAGATGGAAGCGCTGCGTCACGGCGTCCGGGCGAGGGGGGGGGAGTTGTCTCGCGCGCCCTTCAGCTCCGCTGGGACCCCCCCTCCCCCACCGGAAATGACTCAGCCGCCTCACTTGGCCGACACCCCCCCCCCGCGCCTGCTGCCCTGAGGAGCGCGCGAGACCGGGAACGCCCCGTGGGGGATCTATTATGTGAGGGAGGCGGCCGGTCGGTCGAGCCCTCCGGTTTCTGATTCCGTCGAGGCGCCTCAGCCGAGCATCTTTTGTGCGGCTGAGGGGAGTCTCGGGTTTTGGCGGGAAATGTCGTCTGAGGCGGGCAACGCCCCGCTTTCCCATCCGGGGCTTCGGTTTTCCCCGGGGAAGGGACTATTTCGAAGGGAGGAAAAGAGGACGGCGGCGGCGGGGAAACGGAACGGTACGCGGCCGCCGTCGCCCTCCCGCCGCCCTGCTTCTCGGCTGTCCAAAATGGCGCTTCTCCCGTCTCCCCTCCCTTCCCCCCGCGGTGAGCAGACAACAGCAACAGCCAACGGCCGCTCTCCTCTCGGCGCCCCGCCCCCGCGCGGGGCGCGGGCCAATCGGGAGCGAACGAATGGCAGCCAGGCCCAATGCGCGAGCCAGCAGCCGGGGTAGGGGGCGGAAGGTGGAAGAGTGATGGACCCGGGTGTCGCCCAATCGCCGGGCACCGGCGTCCGGCGTCCCTCCCCGTGCGATCTGTCGAGGCTGGGACTGGGCGTGGCTGGGCGGGACGGTGATGTCAGCCCCGCTCTCGGCCAATCGGGAGGCGGCGGCCGTCTATATAAGGCCGGTCGGGGGCAGGCCGACAGGCGCCATTTCGTTGTAGCGAAGGAAGGAGTCTGCTCTGCTCGCGTTGGAGCCAGCGCGAGTGCGGCGAAGAGGGGGCGGACTCTATCCGGAGACATCGTCGCCGCTGCAGCCACCGCTCGGATCCTCCTCCTCCTCCTCCCGGCTTCCGTAGCGGTGGCCGCCCCCGCCCGTCCCGCCTTCCAGGCAGAGCCGGCCGGCCCAGGCGGAGCGCGGCTCCCCGTCCTCCCCCCTTTGACAATCCGCCGCCATCCGTGGCTCCGCCCGCCACGACCAGCCCGGCTCCCGGCCCTTCCGGACGCGGCGGCTCCGGGGACTCCGCGACGCCCCGTATTTCGTGCCCGGCGGCGGGCCGGCCTCCCCCGAGGCCTCGCGAGCGGGAAGCTGCCTGCAGCGCCGCCGCGCAGCTGCGGAGGCCGCCATTTTCTGAGCTTTTGCGCCGCTCGGCCGGCCGAGGAGGAGGAGGAGGAGGAGGAAGAGAAGCCACCCCGCCGGCCCGCCATGCAGCCGCCTTCCCGGCCCGCGATGCGCCCGTGAGCCGCGCGCCCAGCAAGGTGGGGGGCCCGCCCGAGGCCACGGAGGCGCCGGCTGCGGCGGCTGCAGCGGGACCCTCCCGGCGGAGAGGAGGCCAGGGCGGCGCGGCGCTGGCGGCGGGCATGCTGCAGAACGTGAACCCCAACGGCAAGTAGGTACCGCCGACCCGGCAGGGGAGGAAGGAAGGAGGGAGGGGCGGCGGGATTGCCTAGCAACCGGGCGCCTCTTCCGCCAAGCCTCCCCGGAGCCCTCGGTGCAAGGAAGGGCGCGACCGGCTGAGCCTCCCCGCTTCCCCGCCGTCTTGCAGGCTGCTGGGCGAGGGCAATGCCGGCCTGCTGGAGTCGGCGGCGCCGGGCAAGCGGATCCGCAAGCCGTCGCTGCTCTACGAGGGCTTCGAGAGCCCCACCATGGCGTCGGTGCCGGCGGCCCTGCAGCTCTCCTCGGCCGCCAACCCGCCCCCGCCCGAGGTCGCCAACCCCAAGAAGCCCGGCCGGGTGACCAACCAGCTCCAGTACCTGCACAAAGTGGTGATGAAGGCCCTCTGGAAGCACCAGTTCGCCTGGCCCTTCCGCCAGCCGGTGGACGCCGTCAAGCTGGGGCTCCCGGTAAACGGCGGCGGGGTGGGTCGTGCTGGCGGGACGTCGAGGGGGGGCTTCCTGGCTCTTCCGGGGACCGACCGCCTCCCTCCCTCCCTCCGGGGTTGCGCGGCTGGGGCAGAGTTGAATAGGGTGATGATCGGGAATGGCGCTGCTGCTCGGGTGTCCCATCATCTCTGGCTTTTTCCCCGGCTGTTGCTGCTCCTGTGCCGGCTTTTTTCTCTCTCTCGGGCTCCGTCTCAGGGATGCCGTCTCCTCCCCGACAGTCAGTCAGGGTCCATTGCGAGTGGTTAGGGTCTCTCTCTCTCTCCCCCTCTCCCACCGGGGGAAGGGTCTCCTCCTCCTCCTCCTCCCTCATGTCCCTACAAAGGCATGGATGAGAGGATGCAGCTGCTTTTTGCACCGTTCCCCCCGTCTAATCTCTTGTGACCTGAATGCGTTTTGCAGATTCCCATCCATGACTTTGTAGAAGACATCAAGCGGGCCCCCCAAATTAACGGTCGGCACCCAAGGATTTAAAGCCCAGAGGTAAAAAAAAAAAAGAAACAAATCTGTCCAGGGTTATATGCTTGTTTACATCCAGTTAGGGTGGTTCTTGGGGGAGGTTTCAAGTATAGGCTGTAGATCTCCCCAAGGGGAGGGGGGGCTCCCTTGTGTTTTTTTGCTGGATTCTCACCAACTTTGGAAGAGCCAGGCCGGCTAGGGTCCCTGTCCTCGCGTGTGTTTGTGCAGCTGGGCTGCTTAGTGGCAGGGTTGCCTAGACAGTGAGGCGGACCCCCCCCCCCCAACTCCAGGATGTTGCTGCTGCTGCTGTGGCTTGCATGGCCTGCTCCTCCCCCGGGGGAACCTGGGTGTCTCGCTGTGTGTGAGAAGCGGCTGCTTGCAGGGTCCCTGACGGCTGGCCCCTCTCTCTCTCTCGTCTCCAGGACTACCACAAAATCATCAAGCAGCCGATGGACATGGGCACCATCAAGCGGCGCCTGGAGAACGGCTACTACTGGGGTTCGGGCGAGTGCATGCAGGATTTCAACACCATGTTCACCAACTGTTACATCTACAACAAGGTGAGGCCCGGCTGGGCTGGAGGGAGGCACCTGATGGAAGTCCTGTTCGGAGTAGCACTTAATAAGCATCTGGGTGCTTTTGTGATCCGGGGCTCGGTTCAACCGGACTTTATCCATTGGTCACCTAAATGGTTACCTTTCCCCGCCGTGTTTGCGTCCAGCTGGTCAGATCTGCAGGAAATGGCTTTCTGTTCTAGTGCAGATCAGCCTGTTGTTTTTCTGTCGCGTGAAAATCTGGATTTAAACTAATTTTGGAATCTTATTGAGAATGAGAACGGTAGCCCCAGATGTGTGGATTTCGGGAAACCTCTGTTGGCACCGGAGTTTCAGGCGACCTTCGATCGCGCAGTTTAAGCGTCTTCGATGCTAACTTCCCTTTAACTTCAGCTTTTAAGGAGGGCGTACGGGAAAGCGATGCCGAAAGGGTCTGCGAAGCTCCAGGCGTGTTGTTCCCGGCCTTTTTTCTTTTCTTTTTGCTGATTGTCGCCTCGTTGCAGCCCACAGACGACATTGTGCTGATGGCCCAGACGCTGGAGAAGATCTTCCTGCAGAAAGTGGCCCAGATGCCCCAGGATGAGCAGGAGATCGTCCTCACAGTGGCCAAAAACAGCCACAAGAAGGGAGCCTCTCGGGCAGCAGGTAACCAAGAGGGGGGGCAGGTCTGGCCACTGGGCGGGGCTTAGCAGGGGGCAGAACGGCCAAGGGGGAGAGGTCGGACCCTGTGCCTCATGAGGACGGCCCCTCCTGGTGCCTTCAACACCACATCTGGCAAGAGGACCAGATGTTGCTCTACTGTCCTCCGGGGTGTCTAGTCTGCCAGGGTTTCTTGGTGGTCTCCCCTCCCCATCCACGTCCAACCTTCTATAATGTTGCCGTGATCAGCCCAGGCTGCGGAGGGCTTCCTGGTTTGGGAATGGGCCATGGGGGGTGGTGGTGGTGAGCTTGTCGACCTTAAGTCGCTTCCGCCAACCTCTCTGGTGATTCCTCCTCCCCAGCCATCCTGGCAGCAGCCAACGCGGCTGCCCAGCAAGTTCCGGCCATCTCCTCGGTCTCCCACACGGGGCTCTTCTCCAGTGGCACCACGGACATCCCCACCACCATCATCAGCATCCCCCACCCCTCCGTCATCTCCGCCCCTCTCCTCAAGCCCCTGCACTCCACCGCCTCCCAGCCGCTGCTGGCCGTGCCCGCGCCCACCCAGCCGGTGACCAAGGTAGGAAGTCCGGTGGGGGAGACCCTGCCGTCGGGGCTGGGGAAAAGCAGCAGTGTGGGGGTCCCACCAGCACCCCCAGTTGTGGCACGCTCCTGGCAACTCACCGACAGCTCTTGGTTGCCCCGCGCAGAAAAAGGGCGTCAAGCGGAAAGCGGACACCACAACCCCCACGCCCACAGCCATCATCGCCACCAGCGGCGGGGAGTCCTCCCCTTCCGCCCCCTCCGTGCTGGAGTCCAAGGCGGCCAAGATCCCCGCCCGGCGGGAGAGCGGGCGCCCCATCAAGCCCCCCCGGAAGGACCTGCCGGACTCGCAGCAGCACCAGACCTCCAAGCGGGGGAAGCTGTCGGAGCAGCTCAAGTACTGCAACGGCATCCTGAAGGAGCTCGTCTCCAAGAGGCACGCGGCCTACGCCTGGCCCTTCTACAAGCCCGTGGACGCCTCCGCCCTGGGCCTCCACGACTACCACGACATCATCAAGCACCCCATGGACCTCAGCAGCATTAAGGTGGGAGCCTGGGGGCCCTGGTGGGGTGGGTGAGTGGGGGGAGTCTCGCAGAGGGGAGTCGTGGGGTGGCAAACAAGGAGTCTCCCTCTCTCCTTGGGTAGGGCGCAGGGGGCCCATCCAGGCCTTGCGCCAACAAGCCCGGTTCTCCTGATGGCCCCCTTTCCCTCACTGCATCGCACCTTCCCTTGTGATAGCCTGCTTTGGTGGTTTTTATAAATTGAACGCATCAAGACACCACTCTTTAACTTTCCCCGTAACAACCGCCTTGCTGGGTGGGAGGGGGGGGCCACCCAAAGTCACTTTCACGGCTAAGGTAGTGGGATTTGAACTCGCAGTCTTCTGCTTCCTAGCCTGGTGGGTGCCTTGACCTGCTAGATCAAGCCGGCTTTCTAGGGAGAGGCAGTTGGCCTTGTTGGCCCGGAAGCCGCGTCCGGCTTGGTTGGGCATTTTCTGCTTCCTCTGTCGTAAGAGGGCAAAGAGAGGGAAAGGAGAGAGAGAGAGAGAGAGAGAATGGGAAAAGGGAATGAATGAAGGATGCGTGGTCCGGAGACATTATCCAGCCCTCCTGGGAAAAAGGGCAATTGTTTGGCTTGGTGCCCCCTCCCCCACCAAAATAATTTTCTCAGCAATAAAAAGAGCATTTCTGAAAACCTTTGCGGTTCTGCTTTGCTGACCTGGCTTTGTGGGAAAGGATGACAAATCCAGGCACTGCCGCACGTACCTCCAGGGGTTGTGCACCAGGCCTGGAAGAGATGGGTTTGGTGGTTGCGGTCATTGGGGTGGGAAGAGAAGGGCTTGGCTCCCCGGGGGGTGGGGGGAAGCAGGGACGCGTCCATGCTGGGCTCCACTTCCTTAGGAACAACCTGCCGAGGTCTCATTTGGGAATGAAATGGGTCCCGTCGGGAGATTTTGTGGCCAGAGATTGTGTGTGTGTGCGTCGAAAGCTCTGATTTTGTGACCTTACTGCGTTCTCCTGCCCTCGTTTCCCCCAGCGCAAGATGGAGAACCGGGAGTACCGCGATGCGCAGCAATTCGCTTCCGACGTGCGGCTGATGTTCTCCAACTGCTACAAGTACAACCCTCCCGACCACGACGTGGTGGCCATGGCGCGCAAGCTGCAGGTAGGACGCCTGGGGGTGGGTCCCGGAGGGAGGGGAGGGGTCTCCTCGCCCCCTTCCCTGTTTCTGTGCCAGAGCAATAACGAGGGTCCTTCCTCCGGCAGGACGTCTTCGAGTTCAGCTACGCCAAAATGCCGGACGAGCCCCTCCACATCGGGCCCCCCTCGACGTCACTCCCGCAACCGGGGCTCCTGATGAAGTCCTCCACGGACGATGATTCCTCCAGCGAGGAAGAGGAGGAGGAGGAGGAAGAAGAAGAGGAGGAGGAGGATGACGAAGAGGAGGGGGACGAAGACGAGAGCAGCAGTGAGAGCTCCTCGGACAGCGAGGAGGAGAGTTCGGACTCGGAGGAGGAGCGGGCCAATCGGCTGGCTGAGCTGCAGGAACAGGTGAGTTGGGGGGCCCAGTTGGAGATATAGGGGGTGGGTGGGGAACGAGGCAGGGGGCCCCACGGCCTCCGTGGTGGGGGGAGAGAGACAGGGGGCCCTTCTTGGTGACCTCCCCCCGCCTTCCCTCCCTCCCCCCCAGCTGCGGGCCGTGCACGAGCAGCTGGCCGCCCTCTCGCAGGGGCCCGTCTCCAAGCCCAAGAGGAAGCGCGACAAGAAGGAGAGGAAGAAGAGGAGGAAGCTGGACAAGCGCAAGGCCAGAGCGGGGGAGGAGGACGGCCGCGCTCACCACCTGGCCCAGCCCAAGAAGCCCAAGAAGGCCGGCGGGGGAGGCGGCGGTGGCGGCAGCAAGTGAGTGCTTGAGGCGGGGCCAGGTGATGGGGGCCAGCTGGGTGATGACTCTCTTTCCCCGGCGGATCGACCGTGGCGAGCTCTGTGTGTGTGAAAACAAGCCAAGACAAGTCTGACAGCTGATGCTCCCCCCTCTCAGCCGGGTTCCTCGGGGCGAGGGCCAGCGGGACTGCACGCCACTTGAACCCTCTCCCCTCTCCTCTCTCCTGCCAGGAACTCGAAGAAGTCCGGGGGCTCCAAGGGGGCAGCGCCCCCTCCACCCCCTCCTCCCCCGCCCCCCCTGCTCTTCGACTCGGAGGAGGAGGAGGAGAGTAAGCCCATGAGCTACGACGAGAAGCGCCAGCTCAGCTTGGACATCAACAAGCTGCCGGGGGAGAAGCTGGGCCGGGTGGTGCACATCATCCAGTCGCGGGAGCCCTCGCTGAGGGACTCGAACCCAGAGGAGATCGAGATCGACTTTGAGACGCTCAAGGCCTCCACCCTGCGGGAGCTGGAGCACTACGTCCTCTCCTGCCTGCGCAAGAAGCCCCGGAAGCCCTACAGCGAGAGTGAGTGCGGTAGTGTGGTGTGTGGCTCCCCCAAACCGGCCCGGCTCTGTGGGGAGTCTGTGGGGCTGTCTCTGTCGGGGGGAGGGAGGGAGGGGAGGAGGCGGCGTGGCAGAAGGGGCTCGACTGGCAATCTCCCCTTGCCCCCGTTTTTATTCCGATGAGCGCAATGTAGACTGTGTGTCTCGTCACGCCCAGTTTTGTTGTTTCTCCCACAGTGCCTTTAGTTGTGAAAAACAATCTGAAATTGTACTCCGGAGAGGGCTCCACGTTGGCACTGGGGGGGCGGGGGGGTCTCCAAGAGGGTCTTTCGAGTGCTTAGATTATCCGGACCACCGAGTAGGAGTGGGGCCTGATCCCCCCCACGGAGGGTTTCCCCGGCCTTGTTTACGAACGATGTCACGGATAGGAAAATTGCTGGTTAGGGTTTTTTCCTCTGGGGAGGGGGAGAAATCCCAGGATCCACAATTAGCTGTGGATAATGGTTGTGACCTGGGAAGGGAAGATGCAGCCTTTCCTGGGGGATTCTGCCAGATGCTTTAGGAAAAGCAGCTGCAGCTGCTGCCACACACACAACCTTGCATTTTGTTTGGCTCTTCCCGCTCTTTTCTCCTCCTCTGGGTGGGTGCTCTTGTCTTGGAACTCCTTCTCTGGCCGGCTGGATTTGTCTGAGAAGCTTTTCCACAAACCCCCCCCCCACCTACCTGGGCTGCCCACCCGTGTTTCTTTAAGTGGGTCACGTAGATGGGCGCCCAGGGGACAGAAAACCCCCTAGCAAGACTAGAGGAGGCAGCAGCCTTGGTTTAAAAACGAGGACTGAGCTTGGGTTCCTTCAGAGGGCCCCGGTCGGTCTCTTCCCACCCTCTTCCTCCACCGTGCATCCCGTGGCCCCCCCTGGTGCCTGTGGTCCTTGCTTCCGTTTTTCTCTAGCGTGGCAGGTTTTGTCAGGAGGGAGGCTGGGCGGTCGCCCCTTTTCTTCCAAAGGTTTGGCTCCCACGACACCCTTTCGGGGCTGGAGAACCTCCAGCTGTGAACGTTGCAGGGGTGGGCTCGCATTTCAGGGTTGCTTAGCCACGGTTTAAGGTATAAACCTAGAGATGGTGGGTGGGTTCGTAGCCCACACAGCCTAAAATACGTATCACAAGAGTAGAAGTAGGGGCGACAGGGGCTTTGCCGGGGGTCCCTCTTGTCACCAGGTGGGGAGTGGAAGCAGCAGGCCTCGTGTGTGGGTGACAAGCGCCCCCCTCCTTTTCGTGGGAGCCCCCCCTGACCAGGATTCTCCCCCGCAGACCTGAAGAAGCCAGTGGGCAAGACGAAGGAGGAGCTGACCCTGGAGAAGAAGCGGGAGCTGGAGAGGCGCCTGCAGGACGTCAGCGGGCAGCTGAATTCAGCCAAGAAGCCGCCTAAGAAAGGTCAGTTGGCCTCCGGCCGCCGCCGTGGGCTCTCTGGGGGGCCTGGTCATCTCAGGCTGACCCCTCTCTCTCTTCCCCCCCCCCACAGCCAATGAGAAGCCGGAGTCTGCCCAGCAGGTGCCCGTCTCCCGCCTGAGCGCCAGCAGCTCCAGCTCCGACTCCAGCAGCTCCAGCTCCTCTTCCTCCTCCTCGGACACAAGCGACTCGGACTCCAGCTAGGCGACCCCGGTGGCGAACGAGGAGAGACGGGCGGGTCGGGAGGGGAGGCCCTGCAAGGGAGGCCGGAAGAGGAGGCGGTTCCGCGGGATCGGAACCCGGAAGAGCGAGGCGAGCGAGGGGACTCCCCCTCCGGGTCAGCGCAGGAAGGCTCGACCGCCGGCTGCCCCCTCTTCTCCCCCCACCGGACCGTGGCGGGGTGAGAGCTGTTGGGTTCCTCCCCCCACCCCACCCCGTTTGTGGCTTCAGTTTGGGGGGGCGCAGCGGGACTATGTGTGTACAGGGTTGCTCCGGAAGGGGAGGGGTCGCCTGGAACTCCAAAGCCTTGTGTAGTTTTTATCCGGCATTTAGCGAGTTTTGAGTTTGGTGACGCTCCTTCTCTGGAGGGACAGAAGACGGCCTGGGTGGGGCGGGAGGTGTGTGTCCTCCCCCTGTGCTCCAGCTTGGAGCCCCCCCTCCCCTTGGGTGGGGGGAGGGGAGAAAAGTTGCCACCTCCTCTCTTGCCCCTCCCCCGGCACTCGAGGTTCTTTATTTATTCCCCCTTCTCCCCTTCCCTCCCCCCCCCGTTGGCTTCCTTGGGACCCGGAGTGAGTGCAGCCGTGTTATGTCCTTGGCACAACCGCCACAATCGCATGTTCTTCGCCCCACCCGGGGCGGCCGCCAGAAGAGGAGAGGCGGCTCCCCCATCGAGTTTTTTACGTTGACTGTATATTTTTTCTACCGTTTTCTTTTATTTCCCACTTGTTCCATCTTCTAGGGCTCTTGTTTCATCTTAACTGTATGTTTAAATCTTCTGGTTCTTTAACATGTAAATAATAATAATAATAAAAAAAAGAAAATGGTACAAACCCACCCAGTGTCTGGAGGGCTTTAGTGGGGGTTGCGCAGGTTTTGAAGGCTGGGCTTCTATAGAGCTGCTGTGTGACTTGCGGGCTTCATTTAGTGACTCCAATATCAGAATGACATTGAAAAAAGGGACAACCGGCCCTCACACTTAACAGTCACATCCTGATGATCACGGGATTAAAATTTGGCAACAAGCCAGATTCTCTTAAGTGCACGATTTACTTCACTGCAGTGATTCACTTAGCAACTGCGACAAAAATAGTTGTAGAATGGGACGTGACTCGCTTAACAACCCCTTTCCTTAAAATCTAATTTTGGCTCCAGGCCTGAGGTTTGTGCGTTTGAGAGGTGCGGTCATGCTTTTAGTTGGGGCTTTTTGCTGAAGTTTACTTCGGGGTTCTCCAAAGTGGGCAACTTCCACTCCTAGAATTCCCCAGCCGGCGATGCTGGTCTGTATTTTTTAACTTAATTCCGTTTTAGGTTTTGTAAACTGCCTAGAGACTGTGGAATAGGTGACTGAACAAATTTTATGAAATAACGAATAAATGAGAGGCGGTTTGGTGCTGTGGCGAAGGCAGCAGGCCAGAAACTGAAGCTCCCCTGAGTTCTAGTCTGCCTCGGAACGAAGCTGGCTAGGTGACCTTTGGGCCAGTCGCTCGACCTCAGGAAGGAGGCAATGGCAAACTACTTGGGGGAAACTCTGGCAAGGAAACTGCAGGCGATCCAAGAATCAGACACGGATGAACCACCCGACCATCAGTGGTAGCCGTGGTGTCTGCTGTTTCCCGTCCCCCTTGCTGAATTCTGCTAAGGGTGCTAAATAAGGCCAGCAGGAAGCAGTTTCCAGAAGCTTCTTCCGAGGCAGGGAAGAGGAGCTGCTGCTCAGGCGCATTTTCCCGCCTTTTTAAGACTCCTTCCCCTCAGGCTCAACTGGCTCCTGTGGCGTGAGGATTTCCCCTCCTTTTAGGTCCCCCCCTCAGAAGCGGCTGGGAGGTTTTCCCGCCTTTTTAAGGCTCCTTCCCCTCAGGCTCAACTGGCTCTTGTGTGAGGATTTTCCCTCCTTTTAGGTTTCTCCTCCCCCTCAGAACCAGCTAGGAGGTTTTCCCGCCTTTTTTCTTCTGGGGGGGGTCTCAGTGTCTGAGGGAAGAAGAGGAGCCTCTCCCCAGGAGGGGGCTCTTGCCAAGCAGCTGCAGGGCTCTTGGGGGGGGGGGAGGAGGAGGAGGAGGCCTTGGAAGGGAGCCCCCTCAGCTGCCTGACCAAAGTCTCCATCTTGAGTCTCGGAGGCCGGGTGTGGGCGGCTGGGTGCTCACCACACAGATGGAACTACAATTCCCATCACCCTGGCTGAGGAGAAGGCCTCACACGGCTCCCTCCCAGCAAGGCCGCACTGTGGACAGGGCTGCCGCTCAATTATTTTTGCCAGAATCTGGCAGAGCTTGGATTCTCCGTAACCGGGAGCTTTTTTTCCCTTCCATCCGAGGAAGAGGCTGCCACAGATTCAGGGGAGGGGGGAGGGGTTGGCATGGAAGGAAAGATCAGCTTCAAATTGTATACACATTCATTTATAGATACAACATAAATGTATATTATATACACACATTATATACACATACATTTATAGATATACAACATATATACAACATACCGGTGATCTGTGTTTTTTAATATGAATACACCCGAGAAATATCTTCAAAACTATTTTAGATACAACATAAAATACATTTATATATACAACACAAATGTCTCAAATGGTAAGGGGTCTCCTGCTGGAGCGGAGGGATAGACTAGAAGACCTCCAGGGTCCCTTCCAGCACTCTCCTGATTCACCTAATTCCAGCCCAAAGTGTCGTGCGATCTGTGGCACGATGTCCTCTTGTGGAACCAGACAGGGAAGAAAGACCCCCGGGTTCAAAACCCTGTCTTGCCAATAGAGCTTCACATACCACAACACACACACACACCCTTCAGTCTCAACTGTCTGGACTCTAAATCCTTCCATCGCAACCGATTAAGCTTCTGCTTCCTCAAGGAAAATCAGTTGCCTTTTTGAAAAACCACCTTTGTGATCCACCTTTTAAGTGCTCCCAACACTGGAGGTTTTTAAGAAGAGACTAGACGGCCCTTTGTCCGAAATGGTATAGGGTTTCCTGCCTGAGCAGGGGGTTGGACTAGATGACCTCCAAGGTCCCTTCCAACTTTATTATTATTATTTGTCCAGTTTGGGAACATTTGAGAAGATTCCTCCTCACCAGCATTCAAAAAAAAGGCGGCGAGAAGATAGAATCACAGTATCCTCGGGCTGGCTGGAAGGGACCTTGGGAGGTCATCTAGTCCAACCCCTTTGTCCAAGGCCAGTGTCCTTCCTGGAGACACGGATCTCCCATCTTTTCTTGGAAACCTCCAAGAAAACGCTTGTCCCGTTGACTCAATCTGTCGCTCCCTGAAAAATAAAAGATAATTTCTTGACTCAAAAGACCCAACTAGCCAACTTTAAAAAAAATGAAATCAAAACACACCCCTCCGCTCTCCATATTGTGAGGCTTCTCTCTGGGTGCCTCTTTCAACGCACCCAGAAAGAAAGAAAGAAAAAAAACAAATGGAAAAAGGATGTGTGTGGGCCCCTCGATCTCCAATCCTGGCTCTTGGCCATCTGGGTCTTTGGTTATAATTCGGTTATCGTGAACTTGCCGCTGTCCAAGGATAAGCCGAATCTTTGCAGGATGTAGGGCAAAAGTTGGTTTACTTCGTTCACTGGAAATGAAATGAATAAGGGGGTGGGGGGTGAAATTGCCTTTCATTATCCCGGTGAATGGAGAATATTTCCCAAATTTGTTCCCCTTAATCTAGGGGTCTTCCAACTTGGCCCTTTGATGACTGGTGGACTTCAACTCCCAGAATTCCTCAGCCAGGCACGCATGTGCCTGGCTGAGGAATTCTGGGAGTTGAAGTCCACCAGTCATCAAAGGGCCAAGTTGGAAGACCCCTGCCTTAATTCCTGCGTGTAATATTTTTATCCATCAGAGCCCCCCAAAATTGAAATACCAAATGGATCAATTGATATAAGTAGTCCTCGGACTTACAACGGTTCATTTAGCGACCGTCCAAAGTTACAACGGCACTGAAAAAAGGCCGCTTTTTTCACACTTAAAACGACCCTCGCGGCATCCCCGTGGTCACGTGATCCGAATCCAGATGCTTGGCAACTGACTTGTACTTTAGGACGGTTAGGCAGCATCTCAGGATCAAGCGATCCGCTTTTGCGACCAAAGTCAAGGGGAAACCAGATTGACATTCGTTAACAAAACAACAGCACTGATTCATTTAAAAACTGGGAAGGAAAGGTCCTAAAAATGGGGGGGGAAAACCTCACTTAACAAATGTCTCATTTAGCAACGGAACTTTTGCATTCACTTAGCAACGGAACTTTTGCAGTCGTAAGTTGAGGACCACCCGTATAGGATAGATTTACGGTAACACCCTCTCTCGGAAACAGATCCGAGAACCGTTTTTGTAGCTTGTGTGAAATAATTATTAATAATAATAATAATAATAATAATAATAATAATAATAATAATAATAATAATAATAATAATAATAATAATAATGCAGGCTCTGCCTAGGAGAATCTGAAGAAATCTTTTTTCCAGCTTTCCTGGCCTTGGATACGATCCAAGGACTCTTAAGGCTACTTCCCCGAGTATCTTTTTTCATTCATTTCACCTCGTTCAATCCAGCGTTGCAACCCAACGTACATGCACACATCTAAGTACGTTATTAAATGTATCACGTAAATACAAGTAAGTAGAATGTATAAAATTATAGAATATTAAAACACCGTATAATATTTATATACAATGTATTTTTATAAAATATAAAATAAAAATATCCTTTTACTAATTGTAAATGGGTGGGGGGTTGGAATAGATACCTACAAGGTCCCTTCTCTGTTATTCTGTTCTGTTCTGTTCTATTCTTCTATCCCATCCCACCCCTCTACTCTACTACTCTTATTCTACTCTACTCTACTCTACTCTTATTCTACTCTTATTCTACTCTTATTCTATTCTATTCTACTCTACTCTTATTCTACTCCTATTCTACTCTACTCTTATTCTATTCTATTTTATTCTACTCTACTCTTATTTTACTCTTATTCT